CAGGTGGGCGATGTTGTCCGCGCTGCCGAACTTGTTCCGGATGAGGCTGGCAAACTCCCGGGGCTTGGAGACCACAGCGGTGTGCGTGGCCTGGGACAGACCCGAGAGCCCCCCCTTGACTCCTTCCACCACGCCGCCGCTGAAGCCGCTGATGCTGGAGCGAACGTTGGCACCCACGTCCTTGAGACCCTGGTGCATGTCCCGGAAAACATCCTTGGGCTGCCGGGAAGGGCCGTTCTGCTCAATCTCCTTCAGCTTCTTGTGGTAGTGCTCCAGCTTCTTGTGCAGCTGTGCGATGGTCTGAGCCGACTTCTGGTTCTTCTTCTCGAAGACCTGCTTGATGCGGGACTTGTTGGCCAGCTTCAGGTACTCGGCCACGTTGTCATCCCGAGCCTCCTGCTCGATCTTGATCTGCTCGGTGATCTTGAGGATCTTCTGGTGCAGGTGCTCGATGGCAGCTTTTGTCCGGTGCGGGTCGGGGGTGCCGTCGGGGACGTCCAGGCAGACGGTGCCATCGGTGTCGCCGTGCCCGGTGGCAGAGGGCAGGCTGAGCGCGGTCACGTCCCCCTTGTCCAGCTGTGGGCAAAGAGAGAGGAGGAGGATGCTCAAGGGAGAGAGGAAACACCCTGGGGAGAGGCTTGGGGAGAAATGGGGGGCAGGGGCCGAGGAGACAAGAGCTGGGCAGGAGGAGAGGTGGAAAGAGCTGGGCAGGAGAAGAGTTGACCAGAGCAATGACTGCATCACCAGCAGGTCGTGGGGGGGATTCTCCCCCTCTGCTGCGCTCTGGGGAGACCCCCATATGCAGTTCTTTACCGAATCTCCCACCAAACCAGTGTGAGAGCAGGAACTGAGCAACCTGGAGGTATTTATATATAGAAAGTCTCGTTTTCAGACTTTGGCTTTTAGCCTCCTGCACACAGGAGGGTTTTCAGCAGCAGAACTGCCATAGCCCTGGTTTGTGGGTGTCTCCTGATCCCCAGGGAGCAGCAGGCTGCCGGAGCAGGGCCTCCTCTGCTTGCTTTTCCGAGGTTTCTCATTGGCAATGCCAGACTCCTCTTGTAAACACAAGCTGCCGCCTGGAAAGCTCAGGCACAAACCCATTCCCATCTTACAGATAGAAAAAGTGGAGCTTTGGGAGAGGAAATCACTTGCCTGAGGCCACACTTAGACACTGGCAGAGCCGGGACTGAGACCAAGGTCCTGCCTGCCACACTCTGACCTGGCCATGCTGCTTGAAACAATAGATCACTAAATCTTCCCAGTTCCTGGGGTTTCTATGCAGAATCTTATGCAAATCTCAGTGGTTGTATAAATGGCTCCTGGCATCTAATTAAGAGCTGCTTGAGAGTTAAATACTGTTGGCAGACTTGAATAATGTCTAATTTCCATCACACTTTCCCCGAATGACCCTTTAATAGGGATAATGCTGCGAGATCATTACTTAGGAGTGTGTTATCACCAGGAAATGCCTTGTGCAGGAGGGAGGAATGTTCTCAAGATGCTGCTTATGAACACTCCGGTCTGCAGCAGGTCCTGCACGGGGCTGGGTAATGCGGGAACAAACAGTGCTCTCCTGGTATTTCCTTGCGTCTCCTCCTTCCCTGGTTCTGCCGTCCTGCTGCGAGCCTGGGCTGCTGGTGCTTCACGCCAGGGTCTCAGCATGGAGAGAGAAGGTTTCACTTTGGTTTCCTATCAAAGGGCAGGAATTAGAAGCAGGAAACAGACTTTTTTGCCCAGATCTGCAATCCTCTGTCCAGGGACAAACCAGACAGAAGGAAAAGGCAGCCCTGGAGATGCTGAAATGGGAAAGCCCAACAGGGGCACTGATGGGGAGAAGTTGCTCAAGCTTCGTTTGCAAAGAGGGGAAAGGTTTGGGAATCACCCAAACCTTTGCCCCTGCAAAGCTGCTCTCTGGGGTTTATTCATAGGAGCACATCTGGGAGGGCAGGAGGGGTTTGGAATGGCATGCATCCAACGCTGCTGACCCATGTTGACATGCCTGGGGTGAAACCTTTCCCCGAGCCCCACTGAAAGCTCTGTTTGTTCTCAGACACATCATGGGAAAGCCACATCAGGTTATCGCTTTGAAAACAACCCCCAAAAAAGACAATACCGATCCCTGCAGCATTAACAGACGCTGCCTGCTAAATCCCAGCGAGCCCCAGTGACTGCGCAGTGGATTTAACAGAGGGATTAACAGAAGACACACCTTCCCTACGTGCAGAACACCTTCTGGTTCGGCACATTGAAATGACAGGGCTGTTTCCTTGCACTTGTTTTCCAGGCTCTGGAGCAGGGGTTGATGTGGGATGCGGGAGGAATGCAGGACGCAGGAAGAGAAAGCATTCTTATCAACAGAATTCAACCCAGGAGAGCTGAGATATGCAAAAGGCTCAAGCTAAGAAGCTGAGCAAACAGGACTTAGAGGGCCGCGGCTGGGCACAATTATGCAATGCTGGTTTCTTTGGATGGAACAAAGGCTGGTGGCAGGTGAGGAGCTTGGGGCCCAGCTTGTGGCCGTGCCCCCAGCACAGGACTGTGGGTCTCTCAGCACATCCAGGGCTGGAAGGGATTGAAACCCATTGCTAAGAAATTGCACAGTTACTGCAAAGTTCAGAACAAATCTCTCAAGAGGCTCCCTCATGCCCTGAACTGTTCCAGTTGCCATCCTCTTTAGCCTACTAGGAAGTGCAGCGGATGAGCTAACTCCATGGCTCTTCTCCATACCGACCCCGAGCAAGGACTTTCCCTATGAACTGTGACCATGGTTCCAAGCTGAAATACAACATGTGGATGAAATAGCTGCAGCAAGGACCACGTGCACCTTCGAGCATGGAGAACAGAAGTCCCACCGAGCTCTCAGGGAATGCTGGCATGCAGGGCAGACCCAGGAGCTGCTGCACTGCGCTGGCCCCTCTTCCTCGGAGCACTTTATGGGCACAATGTGGGACAGTATCCACCCCGTGGGTTGGTGACTGCAAGTCAAAGCCAACATGACAGGGGCTCTGGGTGTCCCCACGTGCATTCACAGCTGGAGCAGAGCTGTCATTCCCCCCCCGACCGCGTTACCCATCACAGGGGTTGAAAATAGAAGCAGGAGCCCTGACTCACATTTCCCACCCTCCTATATCAAGCCTGCAGCAGGGACCCGAGCAGGCAGCCCTGTGTCCCCTGCGTGCTCCCCTGCCACCCCTGGACGGACACAAGAGGCCGGCAGCAGCTGCCTCTGCTCATTTACCAGCTTGGGAATGATTTTCCTTACATAATACAGGGAGGCACAGGAAGGGTTTGGGCTCGCAGCGGAGCTCCCCACCCCTGCGCCGGCACGGATCGTGCCGGTGGGTTTCATTCACCGAGCACCAGCAGTGGAGGTAGGTAAAACCCCAGCGGGTCCCTCTGCCCATCACCACCCTCCCCACGGTCTCCTCCTCACCCCAAACGGCTGCCAGGACCTACCTCCATCGCGGAAAAAATTGGTGTGGGCAGCCCCGCTGCGTCCCCGCTGCATCCCGGAGCTGGGCAGTGATGCACGGGCAGCGCTGGCTGCCATGGCCGGGGCACAGCAGCAGCTCTGGCAGCAAAGTTTGGGGTAGCAGCGAGGAGGGAGGAGGAAAACCCTCCCGCAGCCCCCGTCAGGGCTGGCCCCGTGTCCCCGAGCGCTTCCCGACCGCGCCGGGATTGAGCCGATGGCTGCGGCGGGATTGCTGAGTCGGGAATTGTCCCAGAGCTGTTTACAGCTCTCAGCGACTGGAGCTTTCAGAGCTGTAATGCAAAACCCCCCTCGTCCCTGTGGCGGGATATTCACACGCCTCCAGCCCCATACGCTGCCTGTGCCCTGACGCAGGGGGTCGGGACGGGCTGTTGTCATCTGCTGTGTCACGTACCAGGACATCAAGCCTGGGAGAGGCAGAAAACACAACCCCAGCTGGGACCGACACACGGGACAAATACAGTCGTGAAGCAAGGAGCTGGGAAGCCTGAGGGAGCTAAAAGCTGCTTGTGCCAGGACCTGGTGGTGTCTTGGCCAGCACCGTGCACTGGGATTGACCCACATCCAGCCCACTCACACCATGCAGAGTGATGGGGAAGGCTGCACTGACCCGATTCTGATGCGGGAGAACAGGCGATGCACAGAGAACACATCCAGCAGACTGACCAGATACAAGTGTCGGAGATGTTAAATGGGACGTCCAAAAAGCAAGCAGGGATGACAGCAAGCTCTGGGTCTGCAGAAGCTGGTGGCAATCTGGAGTCACCCTCCAGGCACTGCATTTATGCTGGGGCCAGTGGAGCTGGTGAGGGGCTAAAGTGAGATTCCTGGGTGGGAAAGGAGACCCAGAGCTGTGCGTTTGAGCACAAGCCGACGGGGTTGCACAGAGCAGGGTCGATGTGGCCAGTGCTGCAGGATCAAGCCTGGATAAGAGCGATGGAGGGAAGCAGAATTCAAGCCCACAGACTTACACTGTGCCAAACCAAAGCCCCCAGTGCACAGAGCTGATGCTGGGGCTGTTTGAAACAGCCAGAGCACCCGTGCAGCCACAGACTAGGGACTACATGAGGAAGGATCATTTGCAGCTCTCTGGTTTAGCTATTTCTCATTAAAAAAACCAACCAAACAAGAAGACAACAGCAGCTTAGGAAGTATTTTCAGCCTCACAGTGAATTGTACAGGCCGGACCGATGAGCTGATCGTGACCTAGATGCATGTTTAATGGGGAAGACTGTGCTGCTCCCACCGCTGAGACAAGCCGAGCACCACTCAGCCTCCTGCTTCCCGTCACCTCTTGGGCTGCCCCTACATCCATCCATGCCCCAGGAGGGGAACCTGCTGCATTGGAGAGGCTCTGGGTGCAATGCTGCACCTCTGAGTGATGGTGCTCAGCGCTGCCTGTGCCGGAGCTGGCCCTGCCTGGGTTTAGCAGCACACGAATCACCCTGACCTCGCAGAGATGGATTGGGAAGGTTTGGTTCCACAGCTCCACAAAAGCACCATCCCTTTGGTCCCTTCTTATCCTGCTAATGGAGCTCCCCTAAACCTCACCACAGCCACCAAACACCCTTGTAATGCTGGCAAAGCTTCCCTGCGGGAATGCTTCCCTGTGGGCTCTGACAGCTCTGGAGCAGGGGCTGCCTGCGCTGCTCAGATAACCTGACTGCTGTGACAGCAGGAAACGGCTGCTCAGAGCCAGGAAGGCATTTCCTTGGATCACCCTCAGCCTTTAGCCCTCCCAGCCTGTGCTTGCAGCACTGGACACAAGGAGGAGGCTAAGCTGGAGCAGGGTGCCATGGTCTGATCTGTGATGTGAAGCTGCTGAAGCACAGTTCAACATCACTAACTAAAATCCTTGGATGCTTTTAGCCCAAGCTCTGGCTGCTGTGGCCCCAGCTTCCTGCCCAGCGTATCCCCAGCCATTCCTGGCAGGGGTTTAGATGAGACGGTGTTTAGGAGCAAGGGACAGGCTGCACCAAGCCCCCTGTTTCTTGCTCTGTCCCCTCAGGAGATCAGGCTCTTGTAGGCAAAAGCCTCCTCTCCCCACCTGGCTGCGATAGGTGTGAGCAACCTTTGTGCATGCGAGTGCTGCGCCCCTTCCTGTACACTCACCCATCGCAGTGGGTGATACCATCCGTACCCAGAGCACAGAGAAGAGCAGGTTCCCCAGGAAGTTAAAGCCCCGCGAAGCAGAAACCAGCCGTGCCTACCATATGGTGCTCAGCCTTGACAGGGAAGGGTAAGGAAAGAGCAGGGACCGTCCTGGTGCCGCAGCGACGCTCCAGCCAGGGTGGGTTCTGCAGCCTGGCCAAGCCCTGGGCCATGGATGCCTCTGGGCAGATTGCTGAGGGACGTTCATCGTTGGTTTAATACCTCCCATAGCATCACTTCTCGTTTTAGCACAGGAGCCAGAGGTCACTTCCCATCACTCTCAGCAGGGTGGGAAAAATCCCCAGCTGCACAAGGCACTCTGGAAAACACCCTCTGCTTCCCATTTCCCCCTCTTGGGGCTGCCCCAAAGCCCATCTGCTCCCTCACAGTGATGTGCCTTTGGGGGCTGCCAGGCACAGCTTTGCTTCCTGATAAAGGACTTGATAAATGCCAGGATGCTTGGGATGAGACTGTTATTCCTTGGGCACCTCAGGCAGCTGGGTTCAGAGGAAACTGACTATTCTCAGCTCCCCAGCTCAAGGGGAATTTTAGGAGTAGCAAATAATTGCAGAAGCAAGAACGGCGCCTGTTAATGCCCCAGCAAAGCAGAGGTGCAGCATCTTCCCTCCCTTTCACATGATGCAAAAACCCTGCTGACATGGCAAAGCAAATCTCTGGATGGTCGCAAAATCACAGCACATTCGGTGTGTGCTGGTGCTGGGTGGTGCAGAAGCCAGCCCTGAGCACCTACGAAGCCCTGGTCCAAGCATCTCAACCATGAGACAGGTCACCTCGTGATGCCACACAACACAGAGTTAGGCTTGAGTTTTGCCTTTAAGGGGTAGCAGCTGTGGCTGGGCTTAGTGTGGAGAAGCAGGGAGGAATTCCAGCTGAGCTGCACTAGAGTGCTCTCAACCGGGCTGGGAAAGCTGCATACGGATTATTGGGAGCCAGGACACTGATAAAGGTGACGATCTGCAAAGTCCACTGCTCCTTACCCTCATGTTCCTGAGTGCATTTGCTGTCCAAAGCAAGTGGCTTCTTGGCCAAGATCTCAACCCTTGCAAGTGGCAGCTGTGTAGCGCCCAGCAGCAGCCTGACCTTTGCCTGCAGCTCCTCACCCCTTATTCCTGGGCATCCCGAGCCCTTGCCTTGCCTACAGAGCAGGAAGGAGAGCAGAGGGAATACTTACAAAGACACCCAGCAGAGAATTTAAGAGCAATATCCTTTTGCCGGGGCAGGATTCGGGCGGATGCAGTTCTGGCAGGAGGATGCCCTGGTCGCTCCTGCAAAGCGCCTGGCCGCTGCTCCGGGAGGCAGCCGCATCCTCTACCTCTGTCTGTGCTGAAGGGGCTGAGGATCACCCGGCGCGTGTTTGCAGAGGAGGCATCCGGCGCTCTGAGGCAGCCAAGAACAAGCAGCGCAGGCTGGCGAGCAGGG